CAAGTTCCAGAGGAAGATCCCATGTCCAGGAGTGAAACCCTGGGCCTTACACATGGTACAGGTGTTCTCTCTACCGCTGAGCTATCTCCCAGCCATAGTATTACACCTTGATTGTGGAGACATCTATGTAAAATAAGGATAGTAGAAAATATACATGGTTTAAGGTGATCAGGTGACCTGCATCCAATTTAGGCGAATGATTCCTGGGTTTGTGTGTGTGTGTGTGTGTGTGTGTGTGTGTGTGTGTGTGTGTGTGTAGCTTTGCTGTCAGAAGGTGTCCAGGGAAGAATACAGATAAGTTTTTATTTCTGGAAAATAATTACATAGACTATGTGATCATTTATTTTGCAATGGATAATAGGAGTAATAGGGCTTTCCCGTTGCTCTGTATTTTCTATATGCGCTAAGCAGTTTGTAATCAAAACACAGGGCTCCTGTTTGCATGACTCTGGAGCTAATGGCGAGACCACTGGTCTTGAACAATGGAGCTAGAGGTGTGGCTCTGTTGGTAGAGCACTTTCTTAGATGAAAAACATCCCTGAGCTTGAGCCCCAGCAGATGTGATGGTACACAGCTCTGACCCCAGCACTCAAGAGGCAGAGACAGGAGGAACATAAAAGTTCTTGATCATCTTTGGCTACATATCAAGTTTGATGCCAGGTGGAGTCCTGTCTTTAAAATGCATACAAGCATACATACAACATGTATGCATAAATAAACTAATTAATTAATTAATTAAAAATAAATCACTAAAGTGATGGTTCAATGGTTAGGAGCACTTTTTATGCATTAATACAAATTTATTAATAGATTTTTTCTTTTCTATTGATTTTATTGAACTATATTTTTTCCTCTGCTTGCCTCCCTTTCTCTTCCCTCCCCTTCAACCCTCTCCCATTGTCCCCATGCCCCTAATTTACTCAGGAGATCCTGTCTTTTTCTACTTCCCATGTAAATTAGATGCATGTTTGTCTCTCTTAGGGTCCTCATTGTTGTCTAGGTTCTCTGGGGTAGGAGCACTCTCTAGTCTTGCAGAGGACCTGAGTTTGGTTCCCAACGCCCCGTGTCGGACAACTCCTAACCGACTGTTAACTCTGGGTACAGGAGATTTAATACCCCCTTCCGGCCTTCACAGACATTTGCCCTCACATGCATGTGTACACAAATAAAAACAAAATCTTTAAGAGTCTAAGGAAGCAGAATGCAGTGGCACACACCTTTAATCCCAGCACTTGGGAGGCAGGGGCAGATGGATCTCTGTGTTGGAGGCCAGCCTGACTTATATAGACAGTTCCAGGACAGCTGGGGATACACAGAAAGACCCTACCTCGAAAAACCCCAAGTTATAAATAAGTAAAATAATAAAGTCTAAGGACACAAAATTAGCAGTTTTGGAGGTGTGAGAGCCTGGCACCCAAACTGGACCTAGACCTAGAACCATGCAGCTTTTACTACAATAGGTTGTATGGGTGCCTGTGATATAGGTACCATGGTCTCATATAGGATCCCCCTTCCCCTGTTTGTTTTTATAACCACTGGAGTATTTTTGGAATGTGGTGGTGGTATGTTCAGAGATATCCTAGCTCGGGATCACTGGCACAGGCAGTTCAAATTGGAGGGGGATGGGGACATTGGACTTTGCAATCATGATGAGCTTCTATTGAAGATCTGACCAGGAAGAGGGTGATATACTTGCAAAGAGCGGGAGGACTGTCCACTAGGTAAGTGCTACCCACTGCTTCGGGGGCTGAAGGGACAGACACCTGCTCAGCTGGAGAGCAGTGCCCGAGTCGAGGAACTCCAGAAGTGAACCTGAAGTTTGCTGGAGAAGACAAACGTGGAGCAGGAAGCAGAGAATCGATCCAGCATCTCAGTATAAAGCCCCGGCTGGTCTCAAACTCATGCTCCTCCTGCCTCAGTTTTCTGGGTTCGGGGAGTACAGGCATGGTAGCCCATGAACAGCCAAACAAGGGACTGATCGAGCGATAGCAGTGAACTTCATCACTACCACCAGCCCAGATGTCTAGGACGGAGGAGTAGACAAAGCTGTTTACTTAAACATCCCACACCCTTGGCAGACCATCGCTCTGCTTTCCAGCATTCCCCTGGGAGCGTTTATAACGGAAGACAAATGTGCACGAGACAAACAGGAGGGCCCACTTTCCCTCTGGGGTGTGAGACTAGGAAGTGTGGCTAGTCTTCCATGAGACAAGAGAAGCTTTCTCCAGTCTCCAGAAGTAACTACAAATGAACTCCAAAGATTTTTAAGTGGCCCACCCAAGGGGTTGCAGCTATTACAAAAAGAAAAAAAAAAAAAAAAAAAAAGCAATGGATGGACCAAAATCTTCTCTAGGGAACCAGGCACCAAGGATTCTGATGTTCTCCAAATTCAACAACCCCAACTGAATAAAACCTGAGGCCAGGTCAAGCATTTCAAACTTTGAAATCAGAAATGCTTAAAAAAAAATAGAAAAGTATTTTGAGTTGACATGATGCTTCTTCGTTCAAGACTTTGGAATGCCATAGATATCAGAGTCTCAGATTAGGGGGACTATGAAATATTCCATTTTCTATTGTCTGGAGCCAGGCATAGCGTGCACAATCTCAGAACTGGGAAAGCTGAGGTGGGAGGATTGAGTTCAAGCGCAACCTAAGTCATGAGACAAGAATCTATCTCAAGGGGCTGAAGAAATGGCTCAGCAGTTAAGAGCACTGGCTGCTCTTCCAGAGGATCTGGGTTCAGCCCACAACACCAATATGATAGATTACAACCATCTGTAACTCCAGTTCTAGGGGATCTCATGCCCTCTTCAGGAGGCTGCCATGGGCTCCAGGCAGTGGTAGTACAAATAGACATGCTAGAAAAGCACATATACACACAAAACATAATAATTTTTAAAATATAAGTTTTTCTCAAAACAACACCCTCACCCCTGCAAAAAAAAAATGTTTGAATACTTACGATCCTAGGCATTTCATATAAGGGATAGCCAATTCCTATTTTTACTGATTTAAATGTTTATTATGTGTGATATGTGAAAATGAGTGGAAGCAAGAGAAATCAGGTATTTCCTTCTCCCCTGGGTTCCGGGGACCAAAGTCACATCCTCAGGCTTGTGTAGAATGGGCCTTTGCACACTGAGCCATCTCACCAGCCCCAAGCTTCACCTAATTTGAAAGGGGCAGAATGTAACTACTGCTAATCCCCAACTTTTATAAGTGATCATGGGCTTGTAGAAGGTCAACAGTGTAACCGTATCCTAGCAGAATGGCAGGGTGCAGAGGGACAGATGACAGAGGGACCAGTCCCTTGACTGGGGCAGTCTCCAGGTAGGGGGAACGAGAGAGAAGTGGGTTCTGGATGGAGACACTGCTGCTCAGCTCTGGGCCCTTCCCTTCTGTCACGTGTTCTTGGACAGCTGAGCTCTGGATCTACAGCTGGGTTCATAGGGAGGCCTTGAGTTTCAAGGGCAAGATAAAAATGCTCCTCACCGGGCTTTTCTTTACAATTCAGAGAAAGGAAGAACCAGGCAAGACCTCTCTAACCCTGAGATAAGAGAGAGTAAAAGACTCAAGAGGCCACCTAGTTTTCGTCCTGTTGGCCTTGGCCTCTCATCTTTAGCAGAGAGATTGGTGAACACGATGGTTGCATTTCTTTCCTGAGGACAAACTTCCTGTGACCATGGATACTCTCGTTCCATTACGTCAAAAGGTAGCTGGGTTTAAAGGGCGTGTGGCAGCTCGAAGTCAGTTTGGTCTAGAAAGTTCCAGGACAGGCAGGGCTACACAGAGAAACCCTGTCTTGAAAATCCACCCCAAATCAAAAAACGAGTAAATAAATGTTGTTTAACATTAGCAGAAAGAACACCCATTCTCGGCGGAAGTGTTCAGTCAGAGGTTGGACTCGTGTTTGTATACAATCATGTTTTATTTGAAAGGATGTCTACGCTGTATTGAGTACCAACACAGGTGACTAAGACACCACAGCCCTGTCCCAGCAGGCACTGACTCTGGGGTGTAGCTTGGGTTGGGCTGCTATTTTTCAGGGTGAAAGTGGGAAGGGAGAAGAAAGAAAGAAGAAAAGGGCACTGTTCCTAGCTCCAGTTTGGAATCTGACGGATGAGAAGGAAGACGGCTCACACTGCGATCCGACTCACAGGCTCTTCTACCCAGCCCTGCCGGCTGAGGTGAGAGTAAGCAGCCTGCTGGGCCAGCTGGGTTGGGGCAACACACAGGCACATTGGGTTACTTTTCTCCCCATCTTGTGAACTCTTCCTAGGCTAGAGGATGGAAGGATTACAGACTCACAGTCTTAACAGAGCATCTGGCCAGGCCAGTGTTTAACACTGTGCAGGAGAAGAACTCATTCCATCCACAGGAGGAGAAGTACCGAGCCAAGTGGTAGAGGCAGGATACCCCTGTGGACTCATCGTTTTGATCTTCTCGATTGAACCCACGGAAAGATGTGGTATGTCAAGGAGACTAGAAGTATCTTTTATTTTAAACTCAGACCTTTACACCCATCCACATAGGAGCAACTAAGATTATATGAGATTCTTTTGGCTTTCGCTGTCTTTCTTCAGAGACAGAAGGCAGATGTTAGAAACTGGTCAGTTTATCTTCTATACCAAAGCACACACCGGAGTCTCTCCTGCTTAAGCACCAAGTTCCCTGCTTGGTTCTACAGCTGCTGAGCCTCGGGCCTCCTGTGACATCCAAGAGCTTTCTCAACATCTGGAATAAGGCCTTCACAGTATGGTTTGAGTGTAGGGAGGTGAGGACATGACTCCTCAAGTCACCATGGCTTAGAGATGGGTTAGAGAACTGTAACCAGCAAAGGACCCTCCGGGACCTGAAGTCACAATGGATGCTTCTGAAACGGTCCACCAGGCTCCCTTAAGGGGCTGCTCACCATGCCCGATTATAAATTTACACTTGCGGCTCAATGACTCAAACATATTTAAACAGACGTCCCCCCTGGCCCCCCCAACCCGCGCCCCGGCTGGAATGTGTACATATCAGCAGGCCCGTGCCTCTTTGACGTAAGTAACACTGAGCCAATGGCTCTGCGGATTCAATAAACATTTCCAGATTCCTTTGCATCCCAGCAGTAGCAGGGAATGGCCAGGATGAAGTCATGGTTACAGTTGCTAACGCCAACTGGTGATGCGGTCTTGGTTAACAAGTCAGTTTACGGAGCTTCGCTTCATTTTCCACCCAGGTTGTATTTTGAATCATTTATTATAAAATTTATATTAAGAATGTTTGTTCTCCAAAGGCATATGCTTCAAGGGACCGTGGCTTGTCACGTATCTTTCCTTTGGTACTTCTGGCAAGCGGAGGAGTCACCATGGCTATGAGTGGGGTGGGCATTCCATGGGTCATCTTCCTCCACAAGCAGAGGATGGGGAACAGGGGACACTGGATGTTCCCTTATTTTCAGATATGTTGGGAGAACAACCTGATCTGTTCAGCTCTTTAGGGCCTGTGAAAATAAAGAGAATTATTACTTTAACTATTGGGACCAGTCACTCCTTGCCCCATAGTCATTGAGCCTATTGTCCTTTCCTGTGGTTTCAGTCCCAGAACCCTGTGCCCTTATTTCCCAGGCAGGAGGGGTCAGGACTCCAGACATTTCCAACACGATGCACTGACAGCTGTGTATCACTGCCCTTCCGAGCCACGGATGACTCATCCTCTCCCCTCCCTGCCCATCAGATTTCTCTGGTTTTTCTCCGGTGCTGAGTTGGAACGCTGTGAAAGAAGCTTAGCCAGGAGAAAGGCTCTTCCCTCCTAAAGCCAAGGCCAGGAAGATAGAACGACCTGACCTGTGTGACGGCAGGGTGTGCAGGACGGGTGTGAGGGAGTGATAACTACAAAAGACCCCACCCACAGCACACACAGCGCACACACGGTGCACACACAGTGCAGGTCCTCATCAGAACGAGGGCCTGGCACTGCGACAGGTGACCCCCACCCCAGCAAACCTGCCTTTGATGGCTGGAGAGCAAGGAGATTGATTAGGGAACAAGTTAAAACTTGGTTTGGATTTTTTTTCAAGTGTGGGTAGTTGAAAGACTAAAATGGGAGATCCAGTCTGCTCAGACTACAGAGGAAGTCAGTCTTGGGCTCTGCTCGCGTTTTTAGAAACGTCTACAGTCAACACTGACATCTGTCCCTGTGGAGGCCATGAGGCAGCGGTTTCTACGCATGCAGACGTTTCAGTGGCGAGCAGGACTGCCTACGTTCACATATCACATGGGGATAAGGGGTTACTTACGAGAACCTTCCAGAAACTTTCCTCATAACCACAATGATGATCCCTCCAACGAAGCCGATGGCTAACAGGACGCCAACTATGATTCCAACCAGGGTCACTACTGCCAAGCCATCTGAATGGAGAGAAAAGAACCATGAGGCCTGGGAGGAGCAGACGCAAGAGACGGCATTGTCTTGATGCTCTCAGCAGAGTGCGCTCTGCTCGTCTCCCAAGGACAGCGGAGCCTGCAAGCGTGGAAGCACTGAGCCAGTTTTCTCTTCTTGGTGGCAGAGAGCAAACCCAGGCCTTGAGGGTGCTAGTCAAGCACCGTGCCACCAAGCCCCAGCCTCAGCTCTGCTCTAATCCCATCTTGTGAATCAAGAGATTCCTGAGTCTCTGAATTTATCACACATAACACACTGGCTTCACTGTTGATGGGCATGCTTCTTTATGGCTGGTCCATGACAAAAATCCCAGAAAACTCAGAACAGAAGGAACGTATTTCAACATAATAAGGACTCTGTATGACAAACCTACAAGCCACGTTATTTAAGTGGGAAAACCACAAATTATTTCCATTACAAGAACAAGGATGCCAGCTTATTCAATACAGTACAATACAATACAGTTATCGTAAACTGTGACATGTTGTCATTCTCCACAGCTGTCATTAAGTAAATATACTCTGTGTGTGTGCGTGTGTGTGTGTGTGTGTGTGTGTGTGTGTGAGTGTGCGTGTGTGTGTGTGAGAGAGAGAGAGAGCGAGAGCGAGAGAGAGAGAGAGAGAGAGGGAGAGACTGAGACCTGTGCTGTGAAGATGAGGCAGGAGAGTTATATTCAGTGTCAGCCTGGAGTACAGCCTGGGCAAAACTTAGTGATATTCTGTCTCAAAGTAAAAAAGTTGAAAGTGGGCTAGGGAATGTTGCTTAGTGGTGGACCATTAGCTTAGTATGCACAAGGTGCTGGGTTCAATTCCCAGCACTTCAAAAAGCAGGGGGGAAAGGGAGGGAGAAAAGAAAGGAGGGAAAGAGGGAAGAGGAAGGAAGGGAGGGAGGAAAAAGGAAAGGAGGGAGGAGGGAGGAAGAGAGGGAGGAAGCCCATCATCTCTGTTTTGGAAGATGGTCCTTTCTGTTCTTGTTTGACTGAAACCCGAGAGTGAATGGAATTCCTCCCAAAAACTGTGTTCAGAGAAACTTTCTTTTTATCTCCCAAAGACCAAAATCTCATTTACCTCTCTTATCTGTTGTCTGTGTTTCGTCAACTGTGCTGTCTGGAGAGAGAAAAAGGCAAAGAGAGCTATTAGGATTTGATGACTATAATTGAACAGTTGGCAGCTGAAGTTACTAGAAGTGGAAAGAAACACAACCTATGCAAAGAGGGTAACTCCCTCCACAAACTTGACTGGGGCTTCAGAAGCCAGCGCTGACAGTCTCTGTACTGATAACCATCCATTTGCATTATCACCAGTGTGCGACTTTACTGCCCACCCACAGCTCCCGTGTGCTTTTGCACCCAGTGGATTTTATCTGATCTGATTTTAAGAGCCAAGGCTTCTGAGCCACAGAGCTGTGAAGTAAATGGTTGGGAAATCTGAGATGCTGGGGGAGAAGAGGAATGCAGGTGTGGCTACTTCACTTTTCATCAAGATCCTGGCAAACACCGGAAGTGCTAAGATTCTAAGCATTTTCACAGCTGGCTTCTTAACTGAGAGGAGGTGGCCCGGGCTGTGGGTTGTCTCCTGACACCTTTTCCTCTGTTCTTGGTCTGACCTGTACTTGGGTGGCCTGCCCTGCTAGAATGAATGAAAACTGGTTCTTTGTGACTTCCACCCCTGTCACTTGAGGGTGTCCACCAGCGTCCTAGTCCAGCCAGGTGGCCACAATACACACTCTCCACCTGACTTCCTCATCGACAGTTTCCCACGACTTCTACTTTAGAATAAAATTCCTTTACTTAGTTTCTCCCACTACCCATTTTACAGAGAGTCCTTAATTCTGGAGTTGAGGGTGGCTATCTGCCTCGGTTGTAGACGAGGCCCATGGTCTGGTGAGACACTGGGGAGAAGGGAAGATCAGACTTTCCCCAGGATCTTAGTTCACAGCTTTCAAAACCACCCTAGGGCAATGGTTCTCAACCCGTGGGTGGCGACTACCTTGGGAGGTCTCATATCAGATATTTACATCACAATTCCTAACAGTAGCAAGTTAACAGTTATGAAGTAGCAATGAAATAATTTAATGGTTGGGAGGGTCACTACAACATAAGGAACTGTATTAAAGGGTCGTGGCCTTAGCAAGGTTGAGAATCACTGCCCTAGAGAGTCAACAGGTTCTAAAAGTAACACTAGCTGTGATGTGATCTGTATGGAGGGAGGGGGGCTTTCATTTGAGGATCATGCTATACAGCCCTGGATTGCCTGGAACTCACTTTGTAGACCAGGTTGCCCTCAGGGTCACAGAGCTTCATCTGCCTCTGCCACCTGAGTGCCTGGACCACAGCTGTGTACTACCACGCCTGAGCAACATTAATTCTTGTAAGTGTGCAGCTCAGTGGGATGAAGTACACTTATCACGTCCAACCATCACCTCCATCCATTTACTGAACTCTGTGTGTGTGTGTGTGTGTGTGTGTGTGTGTGTGTGTGTGTGTGTGT